AGATTTTGGAGACGGTCGGGGTTGATGGTCAGTTGTGGCAACGATTTAATGGATAAAGTTATTTACATTTGAAAAATTACGTATTTGAATATTATTAACGTACTTTGTCATTTCAGTTATTTCAAAAACTCGGGATTTAAAATTTAATCAAATTTTTTAAGTTAATCAAATGAGTTTTGTTGCCGACGATGTTTTACCGTTATAAATGTGATGTTTAAAATTTAGTTATTTTTTACAAATCTTTTTAGTTAATTCAGTTACAAATAAAGATAACGTGGCAATCCGGGTTCAAGGAACTCGGGGAGTTACAACTAACCCAAACTGATCAAGCTTGGGTCAATTTGTGTTGGACTGGGTTGGTTATTTTGGGCTTGGGCCCAATTCAAGTTAAAATGAATTTGGAAAAAATTTTAATGTTTGAAATCACCTAAAAATTTCATCTATTTCTAATATATATATATATATATATATATTTAAGGAATTCTTTCTAAGAAATAATATATAAATAAGATTGGAATCATGGAGCATTTTCTTTTTTACAATTTTTTTGGAATTCATTCATTTCATCGTCATGTCTTTATTTTTAGTTTATCGTCAAATAATTTTCATTTATACATGGTATTCATGTTAGCATATATAAAAAAAAGGACGTTTATACATTTTGAGTCATTTTCTTGTCTCTACTATTGTGTCTATTAAGGTTTTTCCATTTTAGGTATTAATTTTAAAATTCATCGGATTGGGTTGGGCTCAATCAAGTTTTCCCATTGATTTTTCAACCCAATTGAACTTAAAAACCAACCCGAACTGGTCTATATGGATTGGGTTGGTCAGCTTGAACGTTTGGGTTGATTTTTGCTCAGGCATATACAGGAATACTGTGTTAGGAGAGGGTAGATTTTGAGGGAGTCTTGGGCACATACTATTAGAGAAAAGAAAAGTGTGCCAAAAGTAGAATCAGTCCTTTTGGTCCATCAAAATATGATCTGGTGGTGCAAAGCAATTGAGGTTTTCGAGATGAAGTAGTGTGAGCAAAAGCTTCCCCTTTCACAACACATGGCACCCCGACATATAGATCCTTCGAAGAGGTAAGAACTGGAGAAATATTCTAGGCTGAGATGGTAGATGGCATCACACGAATACACTGTTGAAGATATCAAGCGTGAAGGTCTCTCTATTTTGAGCTTTTCATCAGATGGTTGCATGGCATAAAATATTAGTAACAAAACTAAGCAATTGGAAGCAAGAGAACATTATTCTTAATAAATAAATAGTAGCATAAATGATATCAAGTATAACTACACAATTGTTGAACAAAGTGAGGCATTGCGAAACAAAGAATTCAAGTGAAAATCTTAAGAACGCAATTTTTTTGAAATCCACCAAATTATGAAGAAATAAACTCAAATTTTTTTATTCATGTAAGATGATAAAAAACGATGAATTAACCCTTTATTTATAAGGG